CCCCAAAACCCCAAAACCCCGCTATTCCATAATAAACAAAATTAGATAGTTCACACATTAATTTTTCAAGATAATGGTTTTAAAATAATTAAATTATTACCACTAATGTCGTTCAATTTTAGTGATTTCAAAATAGCTTTAGTGTTAACCCTACTATTTAATATTATGCGAGTTTATTGTGAGGACCAGCTAGTCTATGTGTTTCATCAGTTTAGGCATAGCAATAGAGAAACATAGCTTTTTGGATAACTCAATGGATATTAGCAGGGTCATGAGCATATTACTCTAGATGGAATAAGATAAGCCTATTTACTAGGTATGCATGTGAGAAGGAAGTATATTGAGTAATATAACTTGATATAATTAGAGAATCTTGAAATACAGGTGGACGCATATTCAACTAATCAACCTCGTACATTGGATACCTTTAACTCTTTCATGTATGGACTGGTTAACTCAAATTCTATAGAAAACTACGCCCCTTAACTCAAATTTAAGCATGGAGGGTAGAATATTTTCAACTCAGCAAACAAGAAATCAATTAGTCAAAATAGAGCAAAATTGTCTTTAGACATTAGTAAGCTTAGAGATGGCAATTTACAGTAAGATGAGATTTGGGCAGTAGAGGAGGTTTGGAAATGGTTATATCTGAAAAAGAAGGGAGTACCATCTTAGAGAAAAAGTTAATATGATTTCTTTTATTGTAGGTATCATACTTCAAAGCATATAGATATTAGCACACCAATTCCCTCAGATAACTATTTCAAAAACGTCTTTAATCATTTTGATAAACTAGGTCTTATTGTTAAATTCTCAATGTTATCAATGATTGGGTAAGAAAAATTTAGGGAATATGGTTTTAGAATGCTCTATGATTTTGCATTGTATTATACTTAGTTAAGAGAATCATTTGGTTAAGAAACTGAATAACTATTTAACAAAAGAGAGTGGGATCAAATAAACTAAATAATCACTACATTTTAGTTTGCAACTATTGATAAAAAGATGAGGTATAATTATCAAGGTACTTAGCTTAAACTAATTCAAGACTTGATTCAAAATAAAGTAGACTGTTTGCTATCTGAAGAGCATCAAGCATATTTAAAGTCATTATATGGATATTCGAATCTTCCTAATTATGATTAAGTAATCAAAGGCTCTCACTGTATGAGAAACAAATCAAATCCAAACTATGATATATAGGCTGCTCATGATATTAACCTAATACTTACAGCTAATGCTTTTGGTTTGGAAATCAATTATAAAGAGATGGATTTTACATCATCATTTATCATTGAACTATATTATGATGTAGAAAGCTAAGTAATCGGATAGTGTTTTGGAGAGGAATGCTTTTACTTGAAGTTAAAATTTAATGAAATAGATTTATTTTCAGAACTAGGCTATTGTGACCATAAAACAAACCGATGTGGTTATATAAATTTTAAGAATTATGTTTCGAAGACTTATTATTAGCCCTTAGAGCACTATGAAAGCGTTTGTAATGAATAATATGATCCTAATGAGATTGAGATGGTTAGAGTCTGGAAAACTTGAGCAAAATATTAATATATTTAAGCCTTGCATTCTTATATACATTTTAAAATTATTTTAGTAGTGACATTTGATTCTTTGAATTTGGCAAAAATAACAAACTAACGGGGTTTTGGGGTTTTGGGGTTTTGGGG